TTGTTTAATTAACAGTTTACTTGAGCTTCCAAATTTTTAGCAAGAATACAGAGTTTGGACTATCATTGTGAAGCTCTGAGGGGCCTGAACATCTGAAGGATCTAAATGCCTTTTATGTTATTCATTTAAACACATTTTATCCTCTCCAATCGTCATCACCCTCTGTTCACTGAGCTCAGTTTACTCCTCTGTGGCTTACAGTATTTTGCCCTGTCTCTTCTTTAAAATACAAATATGAAAGCGTATGCATTTTTAAAACATATCTGTACTTTCATCACATAAAACACTGACCTACACAGAGAGGAATAGATTATTACAGTGATCTACATAACACCTGTAGAGTGATGATTCATAAGCTCTATGTAGAACAGCGTCACGTAGTCACTGTTGTACAGGCTCATCTGGTGAAACTGAAAAATTCATCACTTTGCGGTGAATGTGTGTGCATGTGCGTGTGTGTGCATATGTATTGTGATCAAGACAGACGGTCTGATCCTAGTGGAAAGAAACAGCTCACTACTGTCTCCATGGAAACAGGCAAGAGGCGATGGAAGTGTGTATGTGTGTAATACGTGTGTGTCTGAAGGGAAAGAGACAGGGAGAATCCCTTGTTCTTTTTTACTGAGCTATAAACCTCAAATAAATAAGTGTACAAATACAAGGGAGTAATGTGAGGGTTTTTTAGTCCTCATGACATTCATGTGGCATTTTCATAATTAACTTCACACAGAGATGTGTCAGTCCTGTGATGGACTGGGAACATTTCCATGGTGCTTCTCTCAGCCTTCTGCACAATGTAAGCTGGAAGAAGCCACATCCCTGTGACTGTGGAAAGAAGTAGGCAGGTACCACATTGCATGAACATTGTTTTTTCGCTATCAGGGACCTCTTGCACTCTTTGGTCCTTGGCATTTTAAACTAGCCTGAAGGGACTACTGTATATTGAACTCAAGTTGGCGACAGCAACCAGACCACCATCAGCACCCTTCATTTCATGTAATGAACCAAATTCAAACGAGCTGTCTGATCTTTGTAGGATCCTTGATAGGTGTGTTCGTGTATTAAAAGCCTGATGTTTAGAAGAAGTCCTATATAAAGTCAAGAAGGCTATTTGCTAGACATGGATGTGCATTGGATTCAGCCTACACATGGATGCATGTGCGTATGCATTTTATGTGTCAGTGCTTCAGTAATGACAAGCACAGAAATACATCACAGGTGCCTAATGATCCATGACAGTAAATGTCAATAACTCTTTTCAACATGAACATGATGAGCACCCCGGCCTTTCGGTGTACCAACACAAAACCAAACACTAAGAATTTATACAAATGCCACAAATATTCCAATCGGAATAAATATTTTTGAACATATTATTATGTTTTGTGCCCATGGACACCGGTCCTCCTGCGATTGTGCTGCCGTCAGAAAGGCTCTCTCTATGTGACCCAGCCCTCCAAACGCCTGCAGCATCTGAAGAAAAATGAGTCGTGCGCAGGACACACAAAGCAATCAATTCTCAAATTAAGATCCCATCAACTCAGCATCCAATCCGGTGGAGTGACCTCTCAATGAATGAATAAAGCAGTAACCCAGTCAATCAATTCACCAAATCTTGATCGCCTACCTACAAGTCTTCCAAAGCCTAAATCAATAGATCCTTACGTCAAACAGAGCAACTCTCTGTTGAACATAGGACAGAATTCACGCGTCATTGCCAACCTCTTACTGGATCCGCTGTTTATCTGTGATTTACTATAAGGTCTTTCTTATATAAAATTTATTTTTCCTGATATGTGGATATATGTTTCAGGAAGACACAGCTAAAATTCTGCTTTTATGATTACACCCCCACCATTTGTACCTTCAATTTCAAAAGTATTATAGCTTCTCTTTACCGTCCAGCAATGAGTTTAAGTGCATAAGGTGTGCGCAGGCTCACACTTTCAGATCCGTACCCCTTCCACACAGGCACCCTGACACTGAACGGTTAATAACAAGAACATGATGCTTATCAGTACTGCACCTACAAACTGTGTTTAATGGAGCATCGAGCCAAGCCCGAAGCTCTCTGTTGATTTGGTTAGGGGTGCAATTAAGATTCTGATACATTAGAGGGTACAACCATGTTGGTCAACATTTTAACACACTGACACAGCACAGTAGTAATGTGATCTGTAAATGTTTAAATGCTAGTAGAATGGCTCTATAGCGATGGTAATGTCAGACAACCACAATATTTCAACAGAGTATCCTAATGATTTTGGTGATCCCCTGACTTTTCCACTACCACCATTTGGGGTGAAATGGCTTGGCAACTACTGGATGCACTGCCATGAAATTCAGTTCAGACATGAGTTCCCCTCCGGGTAAATGGTGATGCCTTTACTTTCCTTCTAGTGCCATCATCAGCTAAATGCGCTTTCCTATAGTAAGACGGTAAACTCTGTCATTGTGAGTGTGTGAGTAAGCTGACATTTGCACAATAGCATAAGTACGCTTTTAGTTTGGCTAATGGGCACCAGCAACACTCCAATAATGCTTTTGAACTTTAGACTCTAAACTTTCAGATTACAAAAAAATTTACCTAATTTTGTTGCACTTTTTTGGGCTAAAGACATATTCATCCAAAAGTTCATGTATTTTAAATAACTTAAAATCAAAATGTGCTCACATGTCCTTTCAACACAACTGTAATTTGTAAGAATTAATTTAATCTGTCCAAGTGTGTTTGCACCATATCACAAAGCACTGTCGATTGGATAAAGACAGCATGTATATGGCCAGTACATCTTTGTATTGTCTTTATTTCTTTCCATACACGCTGACAATCAAAAGATATGTTAACACCACACAAAATGTATGGAAAGAATTGCAGTGTATGTACAGTATTCGCATGCTTGCTCTCTCTCTCTCCCTGTATATGCTGCTTTTAAATACAGTAGATTTTCACTTCATCCCCCATCATGTAGTTACAGTAACATGAGTCCTACAATGGCGAATGTCTAGATTATTTACAGAGGTAAAACTCACATCAAGCTCCATCTTCCTCATTTCAATTTAATTATTCACATATTTCTCTCCCTCTCCCTCTCTCTCACACTCACACCCCCCCCGGCGGTTACTGGTAATGGACTGTTACATCATAAACCCGTCTTGCCAGTAATGTGGAAAATGTGTGCTTGTGTGTTTTGTTTTTCTGAGCATATACTTCAATTTGTGCATACATGTGTGCACTTACTAGCTTTATCTATGTCATATCTCTCTTTGAATAATACATCACTAAAGACACATCTCATGATATATCAGCGTTCCTTAGTAGTTGCACCCGGTCCTCTGAGGCTTCTAGTTGATATTCAGAATATAGTCATCTTTCTGCAAACAACCTCAAGGTTTATGGGAAGCAGTTTTTTAAGTAGCTACTAGCTAACCGATGAATAAGTCAGTCAGAAGGCAGCCTCTGTGTGCAGCCTTGCCTTTCAGAGTTACACTGTTTCATGGCCCCTGATATTTGTATCTAAATTATATTTACCGACCTGTTGCTGAATAAGTTATGACATAAGAAATGTGATAATCAGTTTTTAATCTGGAAAATATTCGTTATTCCAGATCTGTTGGTACACAGTTCAGTACACTGCAGATTTACATCTGTCCTAATCTATTCTCAATATCACCAAGCCCCTCTCTCCTTCTCTTTACCCTTTAGCTTTCTGTCATTTTGTATTACACACACACACACACATGCACACATGCACACCTCCTTTCCTCTTAATTGATCAGATCCTTATCTGCCTCTTTGACTTCTAGCTAAAAACGAACCAAGGTTGCAGTGTCATATCCTTTTTTCTTGAGCACGTTCATGATAATGCAAGAATTGTTGCTGTATACACTTACACTTAGAAGATTTGCATGTCACGATTAAGAGAAAAGGTCTTATAATTACAAGGAAACAACCTCATAGTTATGAGATTGTTATTATTAGATCTTGTCTCATAATCGTGATTTTATAATAATGAGACAGATTTTATTGTTATGATATACGTATGGATGATTATATGGATGATTTTCGGTGAATGGATGTGCTTCTGCAAAAACTGCGTGCCTCTTTTATATACATGCCCAAAAAATACATTTGCCTATAATTTATGGGAATTCACAACCACATGTAAATTTAGCACGTCTGAAATTATGTTCAGACACGTGAATTTTTGACATGCAAAATTGTTCTCCACACATGATAAACACATTAAATGTGCTCTCCCTCATGTGTGACACATTCGCAATGCAGAGGCCTTTTCCTTGAATATACGTCTTCTGTTTATGATGACTCAAAAAATGTCTTCTCTCTCCTCTTCTAAAGCTGAAACCTAAAGTCTTTGCATCTTTTAACCTTCACCTGTTGCTGATTTAGCCAGCAAATTAAAAATGTAAGATTTGTGGGTATCTGTGTCCCAAACTTTTGTACTAATGGCACAAAACTATTATTAAGAGTATAGCAAACACATGAGAAAGTATGGAAAAATAAAAAAACTGATATCGGCTCTTGCAGATTGAGACACAATAGGTCTTTCAATAATTTAGAAGGGTTAGCTGTCAATGATTCAACAACAAAAAACAAAATATGGCTATACCCCAAACACAGACGACCACATTTCTTTTCTTTAAAAAAAAAAAAGAAAAAGCTAATTAACCATTTGACTCGGTTTGAATCAGGAACTGCTCATTTGACAGGACTATCCCTTTAAAGAAGTCGATAAAGGAACAGTCCATTTCACTAAAATGGGGAACTCTTTCGCTGCTTCGTGACATTTCGACATTTTCACACACAAAAAAATACCTCAAGAATCAAAACGCACATGCTTTTCCCCTAAATTCTCATAAAAATGGACATCACAGTCCGCTGAAAACTCCCCATTAATGGTTTAACGCCTTCACAAAAACGGCGCTCACCCCTTTTGGGGCTTGTCTATTTATAGCATCAGCTGTTGCAATACAAAGATCAGCTACTCAACGTATTGTTTCGCAGATGCGGGGAGCAAACTCCCGTCTGTGGCGAAAGGGCGGCGGTGGTTTGAAGCCGAGGAAGAGAGAGAGAGAGAGAGATGAGGAGGAACATGTCGGCGTGAGGACGTTTTCTGTGTGTTCACGACAGCGGAGCTCATATCTGTAAGTAGCTTTCCTGTGGACAGAGAGGACGAGGTTGTGAATGTGGCCGTCTGGTGTTCAGGGACAGTGCGGGCAACACCTCCCGTTAATGTAAAACGCTCAACTACTCCCAGCATGTCAACAACTTAATTGTAGCTTAGCTGTCACCGCATTATTTCGACTAACAGTCAGGGGAAGTGGGCTCGTTTTTATTTTGAGATTATGAACGACTGTGTCCCTTTTGCGGAAATTCCTCTTTGCTGCAAAGTTCAAGAGAAAGATGAAGCAACCGAAATCCGCTATTCAGGGGCGGCTACTGTCGGTTTTCCATACGGCCGCTCACACACACACACACACACAAAACACAGAGACGGGCCTTGCCTCTTGGGTGTCAAAAAATATTACCCTGGGGGACAAAACAAAAAACACAGTGCTTGTTTTTCATCGCCTGTCAGAAACGACCCCCGAAACCGTCCACTCTGTATGCAGTGTTTCATACAAGGTGTGTGTGTGTGTGTGTGTGTGGTTGTCCAGCTTTGTGTGCATGTTTAACCGCTGGACAGAGAGAACAGAGAGATTCTTGATGAATCAAATCATTGGATGAGATCATTCAGAAGCACCAGTCGGTCTGCAGAAAGAGAGAAAGACACACACACACACACACACATGTTAATCACTATTAATAGCAAGTGAAATCAGCAGATAATTTGGCTGTCTGGGGACAGATCCCCCTTTATCCTTCCGTCATAACTTCATGGAAATGTCAAACAGCTGCTGCTGCATGTGAGAGTAATGGTTAGTCGACTTTTTCATGTGGCCTCACAATTTCCCTAAAGCTTAATTGTGACCTTTTTGACCAGGGGAAATTACCTCCGGTGAGACTGTTAGATGATGGGTTTCCCACCTTCAGAGTGTGATCTGTTAGCATCATGAAATAATGAGTCCTGTGAGATTCAAGCAGCTTGTCACTTTCATGTATATGTAGTATTACCCAGGTGGCACTTCTGATATTTAAAAGTGTGGAGGTGGTTCTCTAGTGTAAAAAAGTAGGCTTGTGTCCATAAAGGTTACAGCAGAGAAATAAATTAGAAGTGATGGGTCCCCTCTTCATTATCTGAGGTGCCCTTGGGCAAGGCAGAAATCCCCTGAGCTGCTCAGTTGCACAAGTATAGGAAATTCCACCTTCCACCTTTTATGTAATTCTATGATGTGCTACCCCAGGGCTTGGATGGATATGAATAATAAAAATAGAAGATATATTATTCCAAACCGAATTGGTGCAAATATTTTCATCGTGATGGTGAGATCCTGACCATTCAGGGAGAGACTGGAGCAGCCAAACCACAGCTAAAATACTCAGTTAGTGTTTTGCAATCAAGTGTTTCACTACACAGAAGCATGTTACACCAGTTCAGCTCCAAATGACAAATGTAATTTCAAAACACCTGTAATACAAAGACCCAGGTATCCGTCACTTAATAAATTTGCGGACTGGCCAATTGATTAGGCACGCACAATTTTGAATTTTTGCAGATATTTTACAACTCATTTTGGCTGATTGTTGTTGCTGATATTAGCCTGTTATATCAGCACAAATGTTAATTTCAGTCCGAACCTGTATTTCATGTCAAAGCCTTTATCAGCTGATACTGAAGACGCGCTGATATTCTTGTGCATTTGACGTATGTTGAATGTATGTTCAATAATTAAAGTGTATTAGAGAAGACCTAAATATTTATGCAATGTCTGAGCAAGGAAGAGTATTTCTTTAAAATATTGTCCAAATGTTAGACTCTGTGTTTTTTTGTTTTTTTTTAATCAAAGTTGCAACTGCAACATGATCAGTGGTGCTGGAGTTCACCAACATCCAAAATACACAGAGCCACAACAGAGAGTTCATGTACGCACAATAAAGGCAAATATAAATCTGAACACAAAAGAAATAAAAAGTCAGGCACGGAGCATAAGTAATCTTGCAATTTTGAATAATGGCGGCACTGCCAGCTGACCTTAGTGGTGGAACCTTTTTTAATGACAACATGAAAGGATTGGGACTGAAAAATAAATGTGAACGTTCACCTGAACCTCTGTAAATGATGAACATCATCATCACTGATTAATTGTGTGCATCCCTAATCAAGTTTCCTCACTATTATCATGATGACAGTAGGGCTGGGTAATGCGGTTGAAATAAAGGGTATTTTCCAATAACAAGAAAGATCACAGAATGGCAAAAATCACATATTTAAAAAAATCAAATCAATGTTCAGAGCAAAGAACCATGTTTCATAGTAATGCATTATATAAAACAATGCTCTTCAAATGAGTAAAACAAAAACTTCACCAACACAATGTCCTGGTTTTTACAGCTTGTTGAGAATGATTCATAGTATTGAATTATTGGCTGGCTGTTGTATTGAGACCATAAGGACCATTTTGTGCTGACTGACCACTCTCATTTGTATGATGTTCATTTTTGCCTGTGATTGACTGCTGGCAGTGAATGTGTATACTGTAGACCACTGGTTCCCAAACGTTCTCTGCTCAAGACCCGAAAGAGAAATCTGGAAATTTACAAAAATACATCTACATTCACAAACTATGGATAAAGGGCCAAACAAACCTTTCACATCATCACCAACATGTCTTTTGACATGACCTGAATTTAATGAGAAGTATGTGGCTGAAGTTTACATTGGGCTGAGTTTTTGAAAGTGCCATACTGAGGTCAAGCTGAGCATTTAGTCTGTTTGGTAAGTTAGAGTTGGAAAGCCAGATTAACACAAGTATGTTGTGCCATATTGAATCAACACATCTTGAATCAACACATCTTGAATGATTCTTCTTTGCAAAGAAAAATAAATGTTTGGACTTTTCCAGATACGGCAAATGTTTTGTTTGGAATTACTTGTCCAATTCATTTTAAACCCCCCATTACTCCGTACTTCCCCACATATTACACATTGAAGCATCTCCTCTCCTTTCTGAATTGCTTTGGTGTAGCCAACACTAATAAACTCGCCCTTGTATTTTAGTTTAGACATTGTAAGATGGACATCGGAGGACAGATCGCAGACTAAAGACATACAATTCTGTATGAATGTGGACAGAAGATCAGGTTAGGGAGAAGAGGGAGAGAAAACCATACACAGCATCTGAGCTGAACAGAGGCGTGTAGTAAAAAAGAATTTACATATTTTAACACTGTTATTGAAATTTAATCTGCCAATTGGCGACCCAATAGAAATGGTCTTGCGACCCATTTTGTGTCCCAACCCTAAGTTTGGGAAACACGGCTGTAGACTAATGGTAGGTTATGTGGTTGTTGTCGTTCAAAAATAACTTCCTCATAATCAACCAGTGATTTTGACCTTTTTAAAAACATACTGTGTTCTTACCTTATTGCATTTGTCCCTTCCTCCCAAATGAAATTGGAAATGAGTTGTTCATGTACAGTCATGAACACTAAATCATTCATTCAGTGTCCCTGATGCCTGGTAGTGGTTCACTCGTGGCATCCTGTGTCCTGGTTGAAAGTCCTAAATAGCCAGAAGAAAATGTAAAATGATCAGAATGAATGAATGGAAAGGTCAGAGTAGGAAAAGCCCCAAGCAAGTCACAGTACATTAGTAAGATATTTGGGTTGTGTTTGTGTGTATGTGTGTATGTGTGTGTGTGAATGGCAGCCTTATCCACAAAGAATTTCTGAGAAAGACATAGTATTATGAAAAAAGACATCAATGTAATTTATGGCTAAATGGGTTCTCAAACAATGCCGTGAGACTGGAGGCTGTGCCAAGTTAGTCATCGTTATGATGACCCACAATCATGTGATCAACTATACAGCATCCTGTTAGGCTATATTTGCACTTTGTCCTATCAGACAAATGTTGCACAGGGTATTAAAAATCGTTAAATAAGTTTGGAAGACATGAAGGAAACAACGCTGTACAATAAGACACTGGCTAAGTTGGGCAGATTGCACCTTACTGCCTGGACTGGTGAAGGAGGTGCTACAGTTGCATCCAGAGAGCCATGTTATTCTGTGACGAAAACATCTTAAGTAAATGTGATGCCATGTTGGCAGGCATGGTGGAAGAAATAAGGCCCATGCGAGTAATGACATGCTTTTTTGACCACATTAATAATTGAAGGATATCGCCAATATTGATGCTGGTAAAGACATTTTGGGGTCCTTTTTTGTATCTGCCTCCAGCTCATAGACCGAGATGGCCCCTAAACTAGGGAGGCATGAATGATAGTTCTTGAAAAGCCAAAACCGAATATAATGAAAAACTTTCCAGTTATATCTTTTTTTTTTTTTTTTTTTGCCATTGTACAAATTTAAATAGTAAAACTGTGCTTTTATAAAAAAAAATTTTATTTCCCACAAGATTTGGAGAGACTATGGTGGGTGGGTCCGAGGCCCGAGCGGGTCCGGTAAAGTAATGTAGTGTCCATTTACTTTAATGGATAAATTCATCAAGTCCGACCCAATTTGATAAAAAATGTTGTATGTGGTTCTCGTATCACGTAACATGAAGACTTCACAGCCTCTCTTCAGGTAGGACTCTCATACTGCAGCACTTGTCTCTCTGTAGAGAGAGAAAATGACAGGATAAAGTCGCTAACCTGCCTGTCAGCTCGCTCTGGTCTGTTTCAGTGGATTTACCATAAAGGCTTGAATACATGTGCTCTCCAAATTTAGGTGCGGCTAGCTTAATCGCCTTCTCACAAATAGGGTTGGGCCTATAGACGATGCCACGGACGGACATCACGACGTTGAGCCGGCATCGTGATTGTAAAACACCCGCCCCCCTCAGCAAAAATTCTTATTGTTTTTAAGGTAAACACCCCGGCTTGCCACGCCTCTTTCTCCCCCCATTGGTGCATTTTCTCCATCAGCAATATGTTTTATAAAGTCGCCCAAAACACTGAGAACTCGTATATTTGTACCTACCTGCAGCTCACGGCAGCAGGTGAGCTGCAGGTAGGCTTATTAATGACGTAGCCTATTATAC